GTGCTCCATCCAATCTCAAAAGGCCAGGGTTCCAAGGCTCAGTCATGGGTCTTCTCTCCCAACAGCACTCTTTCTTCTCTAAGCCAAGCTCACACGTCAGAAAGTTTTAAAACTTACTTTTCATACCTGACAGTACACAGCTGTGTACTTCTGGCCTCTGTTCTAAATTCCAAGTGCAACATTGCTATTTGATATCTGTATCCAATCATATCATATTTTATCATTATCATATTGTATTGACTGATTTTGGTGGTGCTGCTGATTGACTCCAGGACTTTACACATGCTAAGCATAAGCTCTACTACTGAGTTACTTCCCCGGTCATGAATCTCTATCTAGAAATCTCAAAAGGATCTAAAATTCAGTGACCACAAGCCAGAATGTTTCATCTCACCCCACAGTGTGCTCTTCCTCCACTCCATTTCCTGTTACGAAAATGTTAAGCCAGAAACCAATCTTTTTAAAATTACATTTATGTATTTCCTTATTTATTTGTACATTTATATGGAAATGCTTTATTTTTTTATTTGTGTGTTTGTATGGAAGTGTACAACAAGCCACAGTAAGCACGTGGAGGTCAGAGATAACTTGCAGGACCTGGTTCTCTCCTTCCCCATTTATGTGGGTTCCAGAGATCAAACTCAGGTCATCAGGCCTAGTGGCAGGCTATCTCACCAGCCTCAAAGTCATTTTTGACAGACATTCTCCTGTCTCACACTCTACTAGTATTCAATCATTACCAAGTTCTAACAATTTTATCTCCAAAACATATAAATAATATACTTCTATCTCAATTTTCATCATCCTAATCTAAGCCACCAAAATACATTTTAATACTGTCACTAATTTATTAACTCCCCACACTCCATTTTCTAACAAACTGCAAAAGGATCATTTTCAAACATTAATCTGAAGGTGTCCCTTCCCTGGATACAATGCACCAATGGCTCCCCACTACCCTTAGGCTAAAATTCTCATTACATGGCATTTTCTTTGACAAAGTCACTATACTGTGTATCTTCTTAAATTTTCCCCAAAGCTACTCCTCTCTCACCTCCTCTCGTTACCTGAACTCTGATCACAGTGGTTTTCTTTTAATACCCAGAATATGCTAAACCTTACCCTACCTAAAACTTTCTGCTGCCTTCCACTTAGATAACTTCTAGTCTGCTTTCAGGTTTCAGCTTGAATATAATTTCCTTAGGAATGCATTCCCTAGCTGACTTAATCTTACTTAGGACTCCACTGCATCCTTTTATGGCGCGCTGTACTTTTCCTTCACAGTACTTAATACGAATTGTATTTATTGGCTATGTCCTTTATACTTCCTACACCAGTAGGACTTTCTCCTCCTTGGCTACTGTAAGAATCAGGAAGAATGGCTCATTTACAGCAAGAGGCTGACAAATTCACTAGAATCACAATTTAACTCACAAGCGCCACCTAGGGAGGACACTCTTCTCTGTCAATCTAAAATCCAGTACCTAGGGTAAATACTGACAGGTACAGTGATAAAGCCATGTAAATTCAACAATACCAGTTTATTTGGTATAAGTGGAGATCAGGTTAGTAGGGTCTGTGGTACCCCAAAAGTTTTGTGTGATCTATTTTATTTCTTGAAACCAAATTTCCCAATTTCCTTATCATTATTTATTTCTTATTTGCGTAACACTCTAAATTGTAAATTCTATGATGGAAGGTCTATCAATTTGTTAGTCATTTCTTTTTATTATTTTGTTATATCTTGGTATATATGTGTGAATGTATTAATGTGTATTTGAATGTGGTGCTACAGCATGTGTGTGGAGGTTGGAAGACAACTTCAGGTGGTGGTCCTCACCTTCTCCCTTGCTTGAGACAGGGTCTCTTATGATTTTTTGAGATGTGTATTCCAGGTTGGGCAGCCCATGGGCATCTAGGGATTCTCCAGTCTCTACCCCCGACCATCTCCTTGTAGGAGTACTGAGTGTACTGATGCAGGTGTGACTGTATCCAGCTTTATGTGGATTCTGGGGATCTGAACTCAGGTCATCATGCTTGTGTGGCAAGCACTCTACCTACTGACCCATCTCCTTAGCCCTCATTCATCACTTCTTGCACCTAGTGACATATCTGGCACATAATAAAAGGCACTAATAACTTGTGGGAAAAGAACAAATGAGGAAGGGGCTAGAGAGATGACTCAGTGGTTAAGAGCACTGGCTGCTCTTGCAGAGGACCCAGGTTCAGTTGCCAGCACCTACATGGCAGCTAACAACTGTCCTTAATCCAGTTCAGGGGATCCAATGTCCTCTTCTGGCCTCCACAAGCATTGCATGCACATGGCATACTTACATACATGCAAGCAAAGCACTTGTATAGGCAAAACAAAAATAAATAAATAAATAAGTAAATAAATAAATAAAATGTTAAAAAATAAATGAGTTGGTGATGTGGCTCAGCAGTAGACTATATGTTGAACACACACAAGGCCTTGTGGTCAATCTCAAACACCAAAAATCAAGAAATAAATTTGTTTCTATCCTTACCCTCCTCCCATCCAATCTCAAAGACTAAGGTGTTCCACTTTCCAAATGAAGAAATTCCTTGACTCTCTTCCTAGTCCTGTCTCTTCAGCTCTCCCTCTATAAATAAATTTTCCTTGGCAAACAAATACATCAGACTCTGACTTCTATTTGAGGGTTGTTTGTTGTATTCTTCATTTTCCCATTTTGCTGTTGTTCTTTCGTTTTTCTACTTTTTTAATTTTTGTGGTGTTGAAGATCAGACTCAGGGCCTTGTGCATGCTGGAAAACTGTTGTAATACCAAGCTACATCCCTAGTCTTCTCTCTTTTACAATAAAGTTATAACCCTGGCATGGTGGTACACACCGGTAATCCCAGCCCTTGGGGTATGAGGACAGGAGGATCAAGAATTCAAATCATCCTCAGCTACATAGTGACTTCAAGACCAACCTGGGCTACATAAGACACTGTCTCAAAAAAAAAAAAAAGGGGGGGGGAGACATAGCAATTCACGCCACCCATCCAAGAAATGAAAAAAGTTCTAAAAAAGAAAAGGTCATCCCTTAAGTGACACATTCTGTCTTTTACCTACCATCTTTCTCCCTCTTACTTTTCCCAGCTAGACTAATTGCCAAGTATTTATTCTTTCTTTTAAAATATTTTATTATTTTTAAAAAATATATTTTATTTATTATTTTTATTTTATGTGTATGTATGTATTGCCTGCGTGTAGATAAGTGCACCCATGTCATACAATGCCCGAGGAGGAAGAAGAGGCTGTCAGATTCCCTGGAACAGGAGTTACCGACAGTTGTTAGCTACCATGTGGGTGCTGGGATTCGAACCTCAGTCTTCTGCAAGAATAGACAGTGTTCTTAATGGTTGAGCCATCTCTCCAGCCCCCGCAAGTGTTTATTCTTGAACCAAACCTACTATAACCGCCCATTCACCCCTACGAACCCAGAGACTAACAATATACAGACCCTGGGGGCTTATTAATTATGATGTACTTGAGCATTTTCAACCTTTATCTCCTAGCTTCTGTGTTTGCATTTGACATAACTGAATACTTCCTCTTTCAAGAAATAGTCTCCTCCCCTGACCTGGTTATACTACATTTTCCTAATTTTTCTATTACCCTTTGGACCACATCTTAGTTTTTTCCTGAGCACCATCTAAAATACAAGATACATAGTGTGTACCTGATAACTGTGGATTATTTGAATAAATAACAATGAATGAATGAATTTCTATTTCTTTCTCAGCACATAGCCTCTAATAAGCAACCATGTGACATAAATTAATGGCCTCTGCAGAGTTTCTTTTTAACATCATAATCTTTGCATCTCTCCTTCATCTTGAATTTTCAGCCCAATTTTTTTCACTATGGCTGGACTCACCAAAACCATTTTTCTCTTCTTTCTGTTGGCTCCGGATCTGAGAAGGATCCTTAATTGTCGCCTTCTGTAGGACTTCCAGCCTGTGCTCATGTCCATCTTGGATTGACTCCATTTTTTCATCTTCATTTTCTAGGAATATAAAACAAAACACTGTGGGGGTGGAGGGAGTGAAGAAAAGAATCTCCATAGGTAAGAAAAACCACTGAAAGAATTACTCAGTAGTTCCAAGCCTGAAGGTGAACATTCTCAGCCTTCCCACTGTCCCACTTTCCAATTTCTTGAATAAGTACTTGAACTAGACTTCAAAAGATGTCTGACTTGGGCTACCAAGATGACTCAGTGGGTATAAGAGCTCACTGTGTAAGCCTGATGACCTATGTTCCAGCCCCATAACCCATAGTGGAAGGAGAGAACCAACTCTTTCTACACACACACACCCAGGGAGGCTTGGAGCCCAAGGCAGAGAGAGAGAGAGAGAGAGAGAGAGAGAGAGAGAGAGAGAGAAATGAAGGGGCTGGAGAGATGGCTCAGCAGTTAAGAGCACTGGTTACTCCTGCAGCGGACCCAGGTTTGAATCCCAGCACCCACATGGTGCCTAACAACCATCCATAACTCCAGTTCCAGAATATATGATGTCTTCTGTCCTCCCCAAGCACTGCATGACATGGGTACACTTACATACATGCAGGCCACTCATACACAAAAAATAAAAATAAATAAATAAAATATTAAAATAAAATAAATACTTTTTAAAGACTATCTGGGGCTGGAGAGCTGGCTCAGTGGTTAATAGCACTAGCTGCTCTGAGAGAGGATCTGGTTTGGTTTCCAGCACCCACATAGTCGCTAACAACAATCCACAACTCCAGTTCCAGGGGACCTGAAATGTTTTTCTGGCCACTGTAGGCACTGCACAACATGACACTTACATGCATGCGGACAAAACACTCATAACACATAAAATAGATAAATAAAATACTTTTTAAAATGATATCAAACGTTACTTACCAGTTTTCTTCTTTCTTTTATTTAAAGGGAGTCTATTAAATTTCTTCTTAGGGGGTTCAGGAACTGGCTGGTCTAGCTTCAATGTCCTTATCTCAGAGACTACTTTATTGTCTAGAGAAGATGAAATCTCTGGAGTTTCAGATGCTATTGCCATCTCCCTGAAAATGATATTGTTTAAATAAAGACTTCAAAAAGAGATACCTATAAGACCCATCCCTTGAAAGACTCCAAGGGTAACAGGAAAGTAGAATTCTAGACTTGGGGCTGGAGGTTCATGGCACTCAGTAGCACAACACACACTTAGCATGTACAGGGCACTGGGTTCAATCCTCAGCACCAGAAAATAAATAAAAGTCCTGGGACTCTTATGGCCTTCTGAGGCCATTTTACCCAGAGACCTGCCTAGTCCCTTCCCAGCTCAAACAGGCATCTTTCCTGAGCTAAGAGAAATCAATAGGAATATAATAAACAACTAAATAGAAAGACAGATCACCATTTACCAACATTACATCCACTCTGGCCTCAACTTACCTCCTTGGGATAAACTTACCCATCATCATTTTCATTACCAGTAGCAGAAGAAGTAAATCCTGGTTCTTTGTCTGGTTGGCTATACATTCTGGGCTGGACACAGGAACTCTCTGCAAAATTAAGGCCAGATCCTTACAAAGCATTACAAAGCAAAACAAAGCATTATAAGCAGAGGAGCAACAAGAGGAAACAACTACCCCAATGTGCCCAACTAAAACACTTCATTCAAATATCTCACCCTGATCCAAGTGTGGTGGCACATGCCTGTAGTCCCAGCACTTGGGAGGGAGAGGCAGGCACATCTCTGAGTTTAAGGCCAGCCTGGTCTAGATAGTGAGTTCCAGGCCAGCTAGAGCTACAGGAAGACCCTGTCTCAAACAACACAAAGCAAAACAAAACAAAACAAAACAAAACAAAATCAAATATCTCGCCCTGTTTGCCAGAACAGTCTACCTTTGGTGTTTATCATATGACAGAACTCTACATCTTTAAATTTTCAGGTAAGTACAAATCTGTCCTTTTTCAAGTTTTTCCAGACTGACCAGTCTCTTCACAAGACATCCAGGTAATAATTTTACTCTATATATGTACTGTTTTTTATCTTATTTTTCCTTAAACTTCTTTTAGGAAAAGAAGTACATCTAAGAATATATGAGACTGTTCACCTTAGCCTCACCATGCAGCCTCCAAGCTTACATAACAGATCTTTTTATGCTAAAAATTAAACTTGGGGCTCGGGAGATAACTCAGTCAGTAAGGTGTTTGAAGACCTCAGTTCAATCCCTAGAACCCACATGAAACAAAACGAAACAAAAGCAAAGCAAAGCAAAGCAAAAGGCAGGCATCATGGTATATACTTGCAATCCCAGCACCTGGGAGGCAGACAGGCAGATCCCAAGGGCTCTCTAGTTGACTAGACTAGCCTAATCAGTGAGCCCCAGGCCAGTGAGAGACCCTATCCAAAACCAAGGTGGCTGGAGCCTGAGAAGAGACACCCAAGGTTGATGTCTGGCTTCCACATGCCTGCACGCAATGCACCCTTACTGGTACACATGTGTACCCACCTACATAAATATGGACACACATGAACACACGCACACATGCACACACGCACACGCGCGCACACACACACACACACACACACAGACTAAATAAATAGCAATAAAAAAATAAAATCCCTAAGAAGACGCTAAAGTAATATTGAAAATATACAAGATGGGGCTGGAAAGACTGCTCAGTGGTTAATAGCACTGGCTGCTCTTACAGAGGATCTGGTTTGGTTTCCAGCACCCACATAGCCACTAATAACAATCCACAACTCCAGTTCCAGAGGACCTGACATGTTCTTCTGGCCTCTGTAGGCACTGCACAACATGACACTTACATGCATGCAGACAACACTCATACTACATAAAATAAATAAAATACTTTTAAAAATGATATCTGACATTACTTACCAGTTTTCTTCTTTCTTTTGTTTGAAGAGAGTCTATTAAATTTCTTCTTAGGGGGTTCAGGAACTGGCTGGTCTAGTTTCAATGTACTTATCTCAGAGACTACTTTATCATCTAGAGAAGATGAAATCTTCGGAGTTTCAGATGCTATTGCCATCTCCCTGAAAATGATATTGTTTAAATAAAGACTTCAAAAAGAGATACCTATAAGGCCCATCCTTTGAAAGAATCCAAGGGTAACAGGAAAGTAGAATTCTAGACTTGGGGCTGGAGGTTCATGGCACTCAGTAGCACAACACACACTTAGCATGTACAAGGCACTGAGTTCAATCCTCAGCACCAGAAAATAAATAAAAGTCCTGGGACTCTTATGGCCTTCTGAGGCCATTTTACCCAGAGACCTGCCTAGTCCCTTCCCAGCTCAAACAGGCATCTTTCCTGAGCTAAGAGAAATCAATAGGAATATAATAAACAACTAAATAGAAAGACAGATCACCATTTACCAACATTACATCCACTCTGGCCTCAACTCACCTCCTTGGGATAAACTTACCCATCAGCATTTTCATTACCAGTAGCAGAAGAAGTAAATCCTTGCTCTTTGTCTGGTTGGCTATGCATTGTGGACTGGACACAGGAACTCTCTGCAAAATTAAGGCCAGATCCTGTCCCTTCCAAAACAAAGCATTACAAGCAGAGGAGCAACAAGAGGAAACAACTACCCCAAAGTGCCCAGCTAAAACATTTTATTCAAATATCTCACCTTGTCTGCCAGAACAGTCTACCTTTGGTGTTAGTCATATGATAGAACTTTAGATCTTTTCTTTTCTTTTCTTTTTGGTCTTTTTGAGACAGGGTCTTCCTATAGCCCAGCTGGCCTGGAACTATGTAGACCAGGCTGGCCTTGAACTCACAGAGATCTGCCTGCCTGCCTCTGCCTCCCAAGTGTTGAGATTAAAGGTGTGCACCACCATACCCAGCAGAACTTTACATCTTTAAATTTAAAAATTTCAGGAAAAACTGCAAATCCTTACCATCTTATGGAGAAGACCTCCAAGCCTACATAAAACACATTTTTATTTTAAAAATTAAACTTGGGGCTGGGGCAATAACTCAGTCAATAAAGTGTTTGCTTTGCAAGCATGAAGACCTCAGTTCAATCCCCAGAACCCAAGTGAAACACAAAAACAAAACAAAGCAAAAGGCAGGCATCATGGTATACACTTTCAATCCCAGCACCTGGGAGGCAGACAGGCAGACCCCAGAAGCTCTCTGGTTGGCTAGATAGCCCAATCAGTGAGCCCCAGGCCAGTGACAGACCCTATCCAAAACTAAGGTGGCTGGAGCCTGAGGAGAGACACGCAAGGTTGACATCTGGCACAGACACACACACCATGTACCCTTACTGGTACACATGTGCACCCACCTACATGGACACACAGGAACATGCACACACAGAGATAAATAAATACCAATAAAAATCAAATTCCTAGCCAGGCATGGTGACAGACGCCTTAGTCCCAGCATTTGGGAGGCAGAGGCAGGCCGATCTCTGTGAGTTCAAGGCTAGCTTGTTCTACCTAGTGAGTTCCAGGACAGCTGGAGCTACAGGGAGAACCTGTCTCAAAAAAGACCAAAAAACAAAAAAAAAAAACAAATTCCTAAGAAACTAAAGCAATATTAAAAATATACAAGATGGAGTTAGGGAGATGACTCAGCATTTAAGAAAACTGGCTTGCAGAGGGCCTGGGTTCAGTTCCCAACACCCACATAGCAGCTAACAACTCTGTAACTCCAGTTCCAGGAGATATGACAACTTCCTTTGGCCTCTGTGGGCATTGCACACATGTATTGCACTTACATACATGCAGGCAAAATACTCATACACAGAAAATAAAATACATAAAATCATGCAGGGCCTGGGGGCACATACCTTTGATCCCAGCACTACAGAGGCAGAGACCAGTGGATATCTGTGAGTTCCAGGCCAGCTGGGGCTACAGAGGCAGAAGAATTTCTGTTGAGTTCAAGGCCAGCCTGGTCTACATAGCGAATCTAGGCCAACTGTGACTAGAGGGAAACCCTGTCTCAAAAAAGATAAAAAAAAGACACCGCCCCAAAGATCAAAAATAAATTCTTTTCAAAAAATGTTATCTTTTTTATCATTTTATTTTATGTGTATAAATTTACTTCCTACATGTGTGTAAATGCACCCATGTCGTGCAATGCCTGTGGAGGTCAGAAGAGGGTATTAGTAACAGTTGTTAGCAACCATGTGGGTGCTGGGAATTGAACCCATGTCCTCTAAAAGAGCAGTCAGTGCTCTTAACTGCTGAGCCATCTCTACAGCACCATAAATGTTTCTGTTTGTTTGTTTTTGTCTTTGAGACAGGGTCTCCTTGTAGCCCCAGCTGTCCTGGAACTCACTATGTAGGCAGGCCTTGAATTCACAAAGATCCACTTGCCTCTGCCTCCCAGGTGCTACAGGGTCTCCTTGTAGCCCCAGCTGTCCTGGAACTCACTATGTAGGTCAGGCAGGCCTTGAATTCACAAAGATCCACTTGCCTCTGCCTCCCAGGTGCTGGAATTAAAGGTGTGCACCACCACACCCAGCCTACTTTTTTAATTATCATTTTTATTTTATGTGTATGAGTGCATTGCCTGCATGTATGTAAATGCACCTATGTCATGCAATGCCTGAGGTGGTCAGAAGGTGTTGGATCCCCTGTAACTGGAGTTATAGATGGTTGTTAGCTGCTATGTGGGTGTTGGGAATCAAAGCCAGGTCCTCTGTAAGAGCAGTCAGTGCTCTTAACCTTGGAGCCATCTCTCCAGCCATAAATTTCTTTAAAAGAAATATAAAAGATGATAGCCCACAACTTTAATTCCAGCACTTCAGAGGTAGCGGCTGGTGGATCTCTGTGAGATTAAGACCAGCTTGGTCTACATATCATGTTCCAGGCCAGTCAGGGCTCCAGGGAGACCTTGTCTCCAAGAATAACAAAACAAAATAACAAAAGGAAATGTGCATGACTATATTCTCCAAATCTGGGAAAACTATCTTTTCTGTGTGTGTGTGTGTGTGTTTCAGACAGGGTCTCCCTGTAGCCCCAGCTGACCTGGAACACCCTATGTAGACCAGGCTGGCCTTGAACCTGCTGGGACTAACGGTGTGCACCACCATGCTCAACTTGAAAATTATCTTTTCTAAGTAAACTGTGAACATATATGAATAAATTGAAATTTCATTTGGAAAAAATGTGAAATATTTATAATATATATTATTTATTCTGACTATACAAAAGTCTGTACCTTTTATCTAAAGTGATTTAGCTACAGATCTATGGATAGGAGATGAAACATTCTAAGTACTACATAAAATTTTCTCAGGAAGAGGGGAGAGAAAGGAGCTGTCAGACCTAGGCAACCCCTCAGAAGGCAGTCACTTTGCTTAACCGAAGCCTTTTTTTCTCTCACGAGCCATACCCAAGCACTCCTGGAGGGACTTCTTCAGCACAGTTTGGAAAATCTCCTCAAATTCCTCATTGGTAAGAGTTGACTTTTCCTGCAGAGACAACAGTGAGAAGGAGAGCTTCTGGTCTCTTCTCTGACCAGTCAGGGAAGCCTTGTTTCAATGAAGCAGCAAATCACAAAACTAAAGGCATTAAGTCAACAAACTAAAGGAGTCTACAAACTTTACCCTGGATTTTCTGGGAATAAGTCACAGAAAAGGAAACCATGTACAAAGTCTGTCCACTTCTGCTCTCATCTGCATCTTGATCCCACTCTGTCCATCATTTCTAGCTTTTTTTTTTTTTTTTTTTTTTTTTGAGACAGGGTCTCCCTGTAGCCCCAGCTGACCTGGAACTCACTATGTAGACCAGGCTAGCCTTGAACTCACAGAGATCCACCTGCCTCTACCTCCCAAGTGCTGGGATTAAAGGTGTGCATCACCATGCCCAGCTCTAAATACTTTCTAAAAAATATTTTACTTTGGGGGCAAGATAGCACAGCGGTTAAGAACACTGTTCATGCAGAAAACCCAGGTTTGAATCCTGGCACCCACATGGCAGCTAACAATGGTCTGTAACTCCAGTTCCAGGGCATCTGACAGTCTCTTCTGTCCTCTGCGGGCACTGCATGACACCGGTGCACTTACATGCATGCAGGTAATTCATGCATACACATAAAATAAAAATAAATAAAACATTTTTTTAAAAAATTTTACTTTATGTGCATGAGTGTATTGCCTGCATGTATGTAAGTGCACCTGTGTCGTGCAATGCCCTCGAAAGTCAGAAGAGGGCATCCAAGCCCCTGGAACTGGAGTTACAGATGGTTGTTAGTTGCCATACGGGTGCTGGGAATCAAACCTGAGTCCTCTGCAAGAACAGTCAGTGCTTTTAACTGCTGAGCATCCCTCTAGCCCCTGGCTAAATACTTTCATCAAAACATTTTAAGCATCAAGGCATGGTGGTACATGCCTGTAATACCCATGCCTGAGAGGTGAAGGCAGGAGAATCAGGAATTCAGGGCTGGCCTTAGGTACACAGCAAGCTCAAGGCCAGCCTGCACTACATGAGACCATCTCAAAAAAAAGTAAAAACGTATTTGGCTTCTTTCAGAAGAAAACAGGAGTTTTTAAAACTGGGGAAGTAACATTTTGAAAAAAAATTGTGTCTGGTAGCTAACACCTTAATCCTAGCACTTGGAAAGCTGAGGCAGGAGGATTGCTATGAGTTTCAGGCCAGTATGGGCTACACAGCAATGCCCAAGCCAGTCTTGGCTACAGAGCGAGATCCTGTCACAAAAACAAAACAGCATTTTTTGAAAATTAATATAAACATAGCAGCATTGCTGGCAACCTCAGCTACTCAGGACAGAGGCTGCAGTAGGAGGATTACAAGTTCAAGACCAGCCTGGGAAACTGAGCAAGACCTTATCTCAAATTTTTAAAGAAATTCTAAAGGAATCATAGTATAGCTCAGCAGTAGAGCACTTGCCTAGCCTGTATGAGGTCTTGGGTTCAATCCTCAGGTCCCCTGCACACACGTGCACGCGCACACACACACACACACACACACACAAAAAAAAAAAAAAAAAATTCACCAGTACAAAAACTGAATGTGTCTAGCTTCTGTGTGAAGCAGGAGGGACTGTTCTACTGGAGCCCATCAGCGTGACATATAGCATGTACCTTTCTCTTCTTCTCCCCTGGCTTGCCTCGAGCTTTTTGTTTTTTCTCCTGGTCCCTGCTTGCACCATTCTCTGTGGCTGCCTTCTTCTTGTTCTTCTTCCTCTTCTTCTTCAAGCTGACTTGGGGCGGACTGCGTTTGGCTTCTGCCTCAGGAGAACTGATCCCTGGGGTGTTTTCCATCAATAAGTTGGCATCAGGAGGTTTCACGCTATGTGATTTTTGTGTAGGTGGAACAAAGGTTTTCTTTGGTCCCTTTTCATATTCTGAAGAAATATGACCAAATGATTGCCAAATATTGCCCATGAAGTAACCACATGGAAGGAGTTTTTAACAAACCTAGCCTAGATCTCTTGGTCTTTCCCTGCATATTCCACTCCCACAGCTCTAAGGTTATTTTAAAGCAGTATAGAATGACACCCAGAAATCTATAATTTGATAAGATTGGTTCATTCTAACATACTCCCGGAAGCTGAATTACTCATGTGGGGTTTTTTTGTTTTATGCTTTTGGGTTTTTTTTTTTTTTTTTTTTTTTTTGTCTTTTTTGAGACAGGGTCTCCCTGCAGCCCCAGCTGGCCTGGAACTCACATAGATCCACCTGCCTCTGCCTCCCAAGTGCTGGGACTACAGGCGTGCACCACCACGCCCAGCCTTAATTGGCTCTTTTTAACTTTGTGAAAATAAGCTTTTAAAAAAATTACTCAAAGCCAGACATGGTGGTACATGCCTTTAATCAGCACTAGGATGGCAGAGGGCACCATGAAACTGAGGCTAGCCTGGTCTACATAGCGACTTCCAGGCCAGCTGGGGCTACAGGGAGACCCTATCTCAAAAAACAAAACAAAAAACTCAAGATCTAAAAATTATTCAAGGCCTAGTCTTTTTAAATATTTTATTATTTTTATTTTATGTGTATATTGCCTGCACAACACAGGTAAATCTGCCCATGTTATGCAGGGACCATGGAGGTCAGAAGAGGGCATCAGATCTCCTGGAACTGGACTTACAGATGGTTTTTGGCTGCCATGTGAGTGCTGGCAATCAAACCCAGGTCTTCTGCAAGAGCAGCCAGTGCTCTTAACCAATGAGCCATCTCTCCAGCCCCAAGGCCTAGTCTTCTTTTAAATTCTTTTTTTTTAATTAAAAAAAAAATCTGTGTGTATATGTGTGTACTTTCTTGTCTACATGTGTACCCTGTGTGTGTTCAAGTGCCCTCGGGGGCCAGAAAAGGGCACCAGAACCTCTGGGCCTGAAGTTGCAGGTGGTTGTGAGCCAAGCAACATGGATGCTGAGAACTGAACTCAGGTCCTCTGTAAGAACAGCAAGTACTCTTAACTGCCATCTCTCCAGCCCCTAAATCTACTTTTTTTTCTGGTCTTTTTGAGACAGGGTTTCCCTGTAGCCCCAGCTGTCCTGGAACTCTCTGTGTAGACCAAGCTGGCCTCAAACTCAGAGATTCACCTGCCTCTGCCTCCCAAGTGCTGGGATTAAAGATCTACTTTTAACTGATAAATCAACATCTAAGAATGTTTCTGAACTGAACAAAACACAGTAAAATTCTTAAGAACTAGTATTCTACCTCCTCGTCTACAGTTGCTGGACATGTGGCATATACCTCTAATACCAGCACTCGGGAGGCAGAGGCAGGCAGATCTTTTTGAAGCCAGCCTGGTCTACATAGTGAATTCCAGGCCATATAGTAAGATTCTGGGGCTATTTAGTAAGACTCTGCCCCCACCCACCAAAAAAAAAGAGGGGGGAAAAGTAAAATTCTCAGGTGTAAGTGATCATCTCTGAGCTTCAATACTTTCTGCCTCTCTGGTGGCATTTAACATTTTTAACTTCATATTATAAATATTTAAATGTCCTTTTTCTCTCTACAGTGCATACATTCCTTGAGCAGGACTGTTTCTAAGTCGTATTTATTTTGCTCAGTGCAAGTAGCATAATGGTAATTTGAACAAAGTGTACAGAAAATCTGCGTAACCAGATTTCTCCTTTGGAGGAAAGACTGTCCAAAAAGTCAATGAGAGAAGTGAACCAAGTGAACCTCCCTCGTTCTCGGCTCACCTTCGTTACCCTGCAGTGCTGCCATCATTCAGTGCAGAAACTATACTTTCTTTGCCTCTGTTAGAAAAAAAGATATAAACTGCTATAGTTTTGGTTAAACATGCTCTTAAACTTTCTTTTCTGTCTTTTTGGATTTAATTTGCCTGTCATCCTCAACTACATTCCTGCCTTCTCCACTCCATTTCTCACATCATCAGTACCAATTACATAACCAGGAAGAAGGAGAGTTGCTGTTTTAAAGAGAAGCAACAATCCTTAGTTTTTGGTTTTAGTTTTTACAATACTAAGGATTACACCTAGGCCCTTGTGCATGCTAGCTAGGCAAGCACTTGGCCACCGAGCTATAACCCCAGCTCTTTTCACATTCTTTTACTTGAGATCAGATCTCCATAAATTACCTAGACTGGCCTTGAACTCACTGTATAGCACGAGAAGACCTTGAATTTGCAATCCTCCTGCCTCAGCCACTGGGATTACCAGCCTCAGTCACAGTCCTTAGTGATTTAAGCGCCTAGATCCCCATCTGACATAAGGTAAGCACTTCTAACCAGACAGACACAGTAGCTGCAGTGGCAGAAGTAGAGGTGGTATTGGAGTAGTGGTGACAGGGCCAGTCCTGGGAGTGAAAAGGGTTTTCTTCAGTTTGAAAAGTTCTCCTAAATACTTAGGACAAAAACATTTTGGCAATTCTCCAACCTAATACAGAGGTCCTTATGCCCAGAGAACCCACTTGTTAATACCGCTGTAAAGTTTGACTTCCAGGAATTCTCTTCTCTATTGATCAGGTTAAAAGTAATGTTCCTCACACTTCCACCTTAGATTCAGGGAAATTACTGTGCATCAGTCCATACAGATGTTACATCACTTTCTGTAACTCAAGCTGCTGGTCTCTGTTTCAGAATTCCTTCTTCCATAATAACAAATATTAAAAGCTGACTCAGAAAGAAGAAACTAGTCAATAAATACACAAATCACCAACTTTCTTCTGAACAAAGACTTTAGAACCATGAATAACATTTGCAGTTTTAGGTATTTTTTCATGTGTGTGTGTGTGTTTATATGTATGCTTGTGTGTCCACAGCTATGCTTGCCTGTGCGTGCATGGGTGGAGACCAGAGGTAGACAGTAGGAAGTCTTCTATCATCCCCCACCTTATATTATTTTTTGAGACAGAGTCTTTCATTAACCTGGAGCTTGCTGTTTCAGCTAGACTGGCTGGCCAGCAAGCTCCCAGAATCCATCTGTCTCCACCTCCCAGGGCTGGAGCTACAGACACCCAACACGGCATCCAGTTTTTCATGTGAGTACTAGGGGTCCAAACTAATGTCCTCAGAGTTGTACAGCAGGCACATTACTCACTAAGCCATCTCCTGTGTCCCCATTTGAGGTCTGAATTTATCTTTTCTCTTAGTTGGAAAGGAGACAGGGAGAGAAAAGGAAAAAAAGAAAAACACAGACAACCCCAGGCTGGAGAGAAGGCTCAGAGGATAAGAGCACTGGCTGCTCTGTCAGAGGACCAGAGTTTTGTTCCCAGCATCCATATCAGGTAGCTCACAATTGACTGTACCTCTAGCTCTAGGGAATCTGATGCCCACTTCCAGCCTCTGGAAGCACGTGCACACATGTGGCATACACTTACACACACATATGAATAAAAATAAGGGCTAGTGAGATGATTCAGCAGTTAAGAGCACTGGATGCTCTTACAGAAGACCCAGGTTCAGCTCCCAGCGCCCACATAGCAGCTAATATCCATCTGTAACTCCAGCTCCAGGGGATCTGATGCCCTCTTCTGACCTCCCTGGGCATAGCATGACATGGGTGCACTTACATACACAAAGGCAATACACTCATACATAAAATGAAAATAAGAAATATTTTCTTAAGAAAATAAAATATTTTTTAAAAATAACTATTTACAAAAACTTCTTTGGAAGCACAGAAGGCTTATTCTTGGGCATGGTGGCACACACCTTAAACCCAGCACCTGGTAGGTGGAGGCACAAGGATGAGGAGTTTGAGGCTAGTTTGGACAACACAAGACCTTGCCTCAAAGAAGAAAAAAGTAGTGGGGTGGGTGCCTGGAGAGATGGCTCAGCGGTTATGAACACTGGTTATTCTTGCAGAAGACCCGGGATCAAATCCCAGCACCCATATGGCAGCTAACAACTGTCCATAACTCCAGTCCCAGGGGATCTGACAGCCTCTTCTGACCTCCACAGGCATTGCATGACACAGGTGCACTCACCTACATGCAGGCAATACATGCATACACATAAAATAAAAATAATAAAATACTTTTTAAGTTAAAAAAAAAAGTAGTGGGGGGGGATTGGAGCTGGAGAGATGGCTCAGCCATTAAGAGCAGTGGCTGTTCTTGCACAGGACCCGGGTTCAGTTCCCAATACCCACATGGCAGCTAACAACTGTCCAATTTAATAACTCCAGTTCCAGGGGAATTCACTCTTCTGACCTCCACAGGCATTGCACAACAGGGGTGCACTTACATACATGCAGATAATACATTCATACACATAAAAAAATAAAAATACATTTTAAAAAAAGTAGTGTGGGGGTAGTGAGCTCACAAGGCCCCACCCCTCTCAGAGGATCTGTTAAAGGCTTCTATTGAGAGAGACATTTCACTAAGATGCCTATGCTTCTGTAGGCAGCCCCTTACACATACATCTATATGCAACACTAACTAAACAAATTGAGTCACATACACAGAAAGACATGAAAGTAGAAGGATGACTAACTGGGTAGAGGAAAGAGAACAGCCAGAGCAGGAGGAGAAAAGAGAGAGTAATGGGCATGAATATGATGAAAAGACATTATATATATGTATGAAAATGTCATCATGAAAGCATTACCTATAACATATACTAATAAACTCGATTTTGATTTTTAGAATTAAATGTTTTTACAAAGACCTGATCTAGTGAAATAAATTAATTCAGCATTGCTAATATTTGTCAAAAAGCATTCATTTTCCACCTTAGATCTGCCTCCTCCTGACCGACTATGCAATTATTCCCTCCTTATATTGTTCCTCCAGTCTTTAATCTAAGAAAGTAAACTCTCTGGTATGGTCCATTACCCTGTACTCCCTGAGTCTCAAATTAAAAAAAAGTACAAAGACTATATTTAATCCCAGCACTCAGGAGATTGAGACAGGATTGAAAGTTCAAGTTTGAGGACTAAAATCACATTTTAATCGAATTTGATATAGTAGCATAATATTGTTGAGGGCTCAAAAATTATATTTTAATCTCCTTTAAACCAGGGAAGTGGGTCATGTCTGTAATCCTAGCACTAAAGATGTTGAGGCAGGAGTTCAACTTTGAGAGCTACATTAAGTTCCTGCCTCAAAAATGAACACACACACAAACAAAACAACTATACTTAAAATTTTGTTCAAGAAAGGCGAGAGGTGTAGTGGCTCATGGCTGTTCAGCACTTCCGAGGCTGAGGCATGGAGGATTGTTGCAAGTTCAAGTCTGGGCTACAGTGTCTCAGATAGCCAGGTCTACAAAGTGAGACTCTATTTAAAAAGGAGGGTAGGGCAAGATGGTTCAGTAGGAGAGAGTGCTTGCCAAGAAGTCTGACAATCTGAATTCTATCCCTGGAGCCCACATGATGGAAGGAAAAAACTGCCTCCTGCAGGTTGTCCTCTGATCACCACACTTCATGGCACGAGCTTGCATATACACCTACATACTCACACACACTAAATAGGTAAATATAATAAAATCTTTAAATCAAAATAATCTAGCTGGAGCTGGGTGTGATGGTGCAGGCTTAGTCCCAGCACTATGGAGGCAAATGAGAGCGGATCTTGAAGCCAGCCTGGTCTACATAGTGAGTTTGAGGCCCGCTGAGACTACAGGGAGGCCCAGTCTCAAAAACAAAAAACAAAGAGCCCAGCCTGGTAGCACACTCCTTCAATCCCAGCACTCAGGAGGTAGAGGCAAGATCTCTGTAAGATCAAGGCTAGCCTGTTCTGCATAGCTAATTACGGGCCAGCTGGGGCTATAGGTCTCAAAAAACAAAATTAAAATGTTCCTTTCCTTCAAGACTAAGTCTGATGAAGCCCTTTTGACATGAAGTTTCAACAACCAATAAACTGCTTATTCTCATGACGTAGTTGAACTGAATGGATTGTTTTTCCCTCTGTGAGCACGCATGAGCACCCTGCAAACGATATAAAACGTTTAACAAGGGATGAAAAACCAAGATTTCATGCACCCGGACAAAATTTACTCAAACCAAACCTCCCACAGAGCTACACATAGAAAATCCGGGGTGAAATACAGCATACTGGCTCAGAGCGCCAGAAAACAAGGCCCAAGGATGCAGTGGCCGCGGTGGCCCACGGTCCCTGACGTGCTCTGATGCGCCCGACGGCGCACCCGGGGTGTCACGATCCCGCCCCAGACAACACCTACGCCATGAAGGCCCCCGACGGGGCCCGTGGTCGATCGATCCTTTCAAGACGGCCACCCCAACCACGACCTCCACACCCCGCACCCCCTCAGAGCATCCCCAGCAAGCCCGCCATGACGCCCCTCAGCTCCCCGCCCGGCCTCGCTCTCCCTCACGTCCTCTTTTCCCACTACCACGCTGGCTGGTTTCTGTGGCGGGGGTGGGGGGGGGGTGTTGAAGATGAGCTACGCTGAGGAGAAAGGGTCAGTCAGTGGCCGCTCTGAAGAGGAAATGGCTCTTCAGCCAAGAGGTACCAGGATTCACCGCGCACCTAACACCTTCCTCTGCGGCCGAAGAACCAGCTACCTGCGGAGGCGACGAGGCCCTAAAGGAGATGCGCAGCGTAAGCTGTCGAAGCAAAGCTGCACAACCCTTCCACTTCGACCTTCTTTTCCCGCCACCAGGAGAAAGCACGAGAAAGCTGATAAATTCCGCCCCCCAGCGGCGTGCTCGCACAGCTGTTGCGCCTGCGCAATGGGAAATCGCTTCCGCAGGCGCAACTGGGCCCGCCATCTTCCACATTAACATCCGGAGAAACTACAAATCCCATAATTCCTGCCATGTTTTTTTTTTTTTTCTTTTTAAAGGCTACATCACTGACGCTGGATTGTTCTGAGGCACATCGTCCTCTCGTCTCTCTCAAATTGCCTTCGCCTTCCTCTCTTCGTACTATGATTCCTATCTTTAAGTTTCCTTCACGCCCGTATACCAAAATTTTGTTGGAGACCATCTTAAGACCTCCTCACGCCTCCACAGACCTCTGCTAAATACTCCTTTGACACAGGGAGACCCCTCCAGCCATCGCTGTGGGGACGGTGCTTCCCATTGGCCTAAGCGGGGCCCAGAGCCAGTCGAATCCCTTCCCGCCCACATTCGCTTGAATATAGAGCGGAGCGCCGCTCACTGCCGGCGCTGGCACGTCGCCCCGCAGGCTGGGCCTGCTGGTGCGCAGGCGCTAGGCACCGCACCGCGGGCCGAGGCCTGGCAGTCCCGACAAGGGTGTAGAGGGGAGCAAGCCGTGTTGTCTCTAGGTGATCGCGAGTGGGGAAGGCGGAGCAAGAACGGCTCAGCCACGTAGGAGAAAGAGGAAGTTGGACAATCTGGGCTGTTTTAGGGCCGCCTTATTGTTTTCAGTTCGAGACTATCTGAAATGACGTCTTGCATGTCTCTGACTGCAGGGCTGAAGGAGACACTCCCTCCGCGCTAGATGGGCGGGTGCGCGGCTTGTGTTCATGAATAATTCATGAGCCCGCCCATTTCGCGGGGAAGTCACACCCCTCGGAATCGTGCTGACGCACGCTTGCGTGGATCAAACCTAAGGAAGCGACGTCACACGCCCCGCCCCCAGTGCGGAGGGCGGGGCATCATCTCCAGCACGTGTTGCAGCCTCTACCCGCGCAAGTCCGAAGGGGGATGCGCAGGCGCCGTGCGGGAGGGGGCGGGGGATGGGCGGGAGGAAGGAGGCGGGGCGGGGAGGTTGCTGGGTTTACAGCCAGGCGGAGACCGCTGAGACCCATTCCTCAGGAACAAGGGTCGGGTGTCAAGGAGACCTTTTCACACCAGCTCCCCGGTCCCCGCCTACGGTGGGTGGGATCGCGCGCCAGAGACAAAGGATATCAGTAGGGCTCGGACATAGCGGCGAAGGGAAGTGGGGTGTCCTTGTGGGGTAGCGGGGGGCTGGGGGCTGGGGGCAGTGCGGAGACCAGGGAGGGGGGCCTATATTTAAACTCCCGGAGCCGTTAAGTTGGTTCGCACTCCCGATGCGCGCGCAGCCGGGGTGGTGGCGGAGTGCGCATGCGTGGTTCCGAGGCGAGCGGAACGCGCGCCCGCCGTGCGCGCTCTCGGCGAAGTGGTAGTGTCGGCGGAGAGAAAGGGGGTCAGCGCACGCGCAGTTGGTTCCCTGGCTTGTCCGGGTCTCGCGGGCATCTTGTTTTGGTCTCGCGGGCGAGTGGGGCGCGCTTGGTGTGTGGAGGGAAGGTGGGGGGCGCGCGAGGCAGAGCTGCGCGCGCACTCGGGGAAGAGGCGGAAGGGAGTGAGTGAAGGGGGGGTGTCTTAGGTTGCAGCGAGAGGGTTGAAGACTCCCCTACACACCTGGTCACCTCTCGGTACCCTCGCTTGGGACGGGGCAATTACAAGGGGAGAAGAGATGATCGAGATGGCGGCGGAGAAGGAGCCGTTTCTGGTGCCGGCCCCGCCGCCGCCGCTCAAAGATGGAGGGGGCGGCCCCGAGGTGCGAGCGCACCGGGAGTCTCCGGCCCGGGAACCCCGCGACGGCACGGAACGCGGGCCCGGCCCACGCGCCCACTCGGCGGGCCCTGCAGCCAGCCAAGGGCCTGGGGAACCCCCGGGGCGAACAGCAGCTCCCGCGGACGTGGGGGAGGAGCGCCGGGGAGGGGGCGGGACGGACCTGGGTGCCCCTGCCCCTCCACGACCTCGCAATGGCTACCAACCCCACCGACCCCCCGGAGGTGGCGGGGGTAAGAGGAGAAATAGCTGTAACGTAGGGGGAGGAGGCGGTGGAAGCTTCAAACATCCGGCCTTCAAGAGGCGCCGGCGGGTGAATTCGGACTGTGACTCGGTGTTACCCTCCAACTTCCTCCTGGGGGGCAATATCTTTGATCCACTGAACCTGAATAGCCTCCTGGACGAGGAAGTGAGTCGCGCGCTCAATGCGGAGACCCCAAAGTCATCCCCACTTCCGGCCAAGGGGCGGGACCCCGTGGAGATCCTCATCCCCAAAGATATCACTGACCCGCTCAGTCTCAATACTTGCACTGATGAGGCCCATGTAGTTCTGGCCTCGCCACTCAAGATTGGTCGCAAGCGCCATAGACACCGGGGACCGCACCACCAGCAGCAGCAGGCGTCCGGAGGGAGCGATAGCCACTCAGTGCTGCCCACGGACCCTCCCGCTCCCTCACTCCAAGGGGAGGGCGCCACGCAACAGCGGCACAAGGGACCGAACCGCGACGCCCCGCAACCCTATGAACTCAATACAGCCATCAACTGCAGGGATGAAGTCGTGTCCCCCCTTCCATCTGCCCTGCAGGGTCCCTCAGGCTCCCTTTCAGCCCCTCCAGCTGCCTCAGTTACCTCGGCACCCTCGTCTTCCTCCTCCCGACATCGCAAACGTCGCAGGACTTCCAGCAAGTCAGAGGCAGGGGCTAGGGGTGGAGGCCAGGGTCCCAAGGAAAAGGGCCGAGGGAGTGGGGGAGGCCGCCACCACCACCCACTACCTGCAACTGGCTTCAAAAAGCAACAACTCAAGTTCCAGTATGGGAATTACTGCAAGTACTATGGCTATCGCAATCCGTCCTGCGAGGATGTGCGCCTTAGGGTGTTGAAGCCTGAGTGGTTTCGAGGTCGGGACGTTCTAGACCTGGGCTGCAATGTTGGCCATCTGACCCTGAGTATTGCCTGCAAGTGGGGTCCATCCCGCATGGTGGGGCTGGACATCGACCCCCGACTCATCCACTCAGCCCGTCAGAATATTCGACACTACCTGTCCGAGGATCTGCGTCTCCAATCCCAGACTTCTGAAGAGGACCCAGGTAAAGAAGGGGAGGAAGGGACTACCACTGTCCGAAAAAGAAGCTGCTTCCCAGCCTCGCTGACAGCCAGCCGGGGTCCCATCGCTGCACCCCAAGTGCCGTTGGATGGAGCAGACACATCTGTCTTCCCCAACAATGTTGTCTTCGTCACGGTAAGAGGCCAAAGGCTCTTGGAATAGGGTCCAAGTGTGAAGATGAGATTAAATATGTATTGGGGGGAAGGTCATGACTTAGAGGTATATTCCTGCATCCATTCTCGTTCCTCCCTACAAGAACCAGCTCCTGGAGAGAACATTTCTGGATTGGCCAGAGAACCTCTGCTGGGTGTCTCTCCTCTCCTCTAATCTGGAAAGTGGGATCTCTTATCTTCAGGCTCTAACATCTGGTCCTTTCTCATGACTCCAAGAATCTCATCCCTGATATAAGGGGGCTCACTTGTCCTGCTTCCAGTAATTCAGACATGTCCACCTTCCCTTCAGGATGACCTCTACTGCTCAGTCCAGATGGGACCCTGACCTCAGACCTCCTCAAGGGAGCATGAAGTTGGGTGTCTTTGGGTGGAGGGGGAGACTTACGGTAGTGGCACTCCGTTGTGTAGTTTTTGTCCCTTAATAAGGACCTGGTTTGCAACGGCTGCTTTTTGTTTCCCTAGTTTGTTGAAGAGTCAGTGGTCAGGAACCCAACTGGCTTGGCTTTGGGTTCCCACTGAGTAGTGGGAGAGAGGACTGTTAGGGAGGAGAGTACTGAGCCTGACAGCATCTGTCCCTGTCTGCACTGGTTTCCTCCATTAGCAGTTGTTCCACCATCTGGAGGAATGTTTACCAGTGGGTCAGCCTGAAGAAATGTCTTTCTGGAGGGTGGCAATGAGTTTATTTAATAGAGGTTTCCTAAGGGATGTGGCTCTTGATTTCACTTAAAGAATGTCACCAATGTCCCCAAAACCGCCAGCCTCTAATATAGGGAAGGACCCATCAATCTTCAGAGCCCTGGGCTAGGTCTCCCTAAATACTTGAGCCATGTATTGGTGAGGTCCCCTGGGTGGAGTAAGAATAAGCCCAGGATGGGGTCTTGGGTGCACTCCAGCATTCTGTTGCTGCAGGGTGGCTCGTTATCCCCTGGATAATTTGCTCGATTTAAATCTGCTCAGGCTCCCTTGTAAGCCTCTTGGTTTAGCACCAGGCGGAAGCAGAGGCAGGAAAGGGAGAAGAGACCATGAGACTGAAAGAAGGCGCTATCAGGAGGAGCCTGTGAAGGAGGAGACCAAGGGCTGCAGTGAGGTTGTGTGTAGGGCTTTGTCTCAGAGCCTGCAGGTGGCTGTGGGGCCAGTGGCATGTCTCATCCCGATTTTGACCTCTTCCCCCATCCTGGCCCTCAGGGTAACTATGTTCTGGATCGGGATGAGCTGGTGGACGCCCAAAGAGCTGAATATGATGTGGTGCTCTGCCTCAGCCTCACAAAGTGGGTGCACCTCAACTGGGGCGACGAGGGGCTGAAACGCATGTTCCGCAGGATCTACCGGCACCTGCGCCCTGGGGGCATCTTGGTCCTGGAGCCCCAACCATGGTCCTCATACTGCAGGAGAAAGTCTCTCACGGTGAGTAAGGTTTCTGTGGAAATGGATAATTCATCTTTGGGTTGAAGCAAGGAAAACAGGGTTGTTTGTCCAGTAGTGGGGTTTTAACCCCAGGCTTCACATGACAGGCCAGCACTCATCACTGAAGTATATCCCAGCCTTTTTTGAGACAAGGGACAAACTGCTGGCCTTGAACTTGGCATCCTCCTGCTTCAGCCTTCTGAGTAGCTAGGATAACCACCTTGTACCACCATGTCTAGCTCAGACTTTCTGAGCAAGGAGAAAGGGGTATCCTCCTTGGCCAGGGGAGGAAGTGGCACACTGAAGTGACGGCCCCCTTCTTTCTCCCCAGGAAACAATCTATAAGAACTACTTTCGAATCCAGCTAAAGCCAGAACAGTTCAGTTCCTACCTGACATCCCCAGAGGTGGGCTTCTCTAGCTATGAGCTTGTAGCCACACCTAGTAACGCTGCCAGAGGTAAGCTTGGCCCATTGTGTTGGCTGGGAGGGGTTGGTCTTGGCTGAGAGGGTGCAGACCCTGTGGAGAGTCCCACCTGCCTTCTGACTGTGGACTCTTCCCTCAGGCTTCCAGCGTCCTGTGTACCTGTTCCACAAGGCCCATTCCCCCAGCCACTAAGTGGCCCCCTGAACAGAAGGCGTGAAGAGGCCATCCATCCTTGCTGCTCCTGAGGACCTGGGAGGAGAGGAGATTATCCTAAGGTCTTTCCTGTGTAACTCCAAAAAGTTTCCTTTCTTGGATCTGCAAAGAAAGCTTTTCTTAAGTTGCTGCCCTAGTCTCCTCCCTGACACCTCTGGCACCTGAGTAAGCCCAGCTGTGCTGGAATTACATCAGCTTCCTCTTCCCAGCCTACTGGGCTGGGTGGCATGGACTGTTTGCTGACCTCTCTCATCCTAAGGCATGGGAACTGGGAAATGTCAAATTCTCTAGGCCTTTCCTCCTGTTCTCCAAAGGAGAGTCCTGCTTATCAGCCTTTGTTTCTAGCCACACTTAAGTGGACCATGGATGGACTAAGGATTAGAGGGGGAATTTGGAAAAGAGACATGTGAAAATCCTGCTGTCCCCTGTGGGAGAGGGGCTGGGTTTGGAAAGTGAGAACAGCACAATAAACTTGATACCTAGGGCAGTGGCCCCTGCACCTGTGTCTGGCACTTTCTAACAGGGTGGTGCCTCCCAGTAGGAACCTGGGCTTCTTCTGCCCATCCTCCAGTGCATACCTGCAACTGCAGCATGCAAGCAAAGCAGACAGATCTTGGTAATGAAGACTAGCCTGGTCTACACAGCCAATTCCAGGCCAGCTGGGGCTACAAGGAGACCCTGTCTGGGGGGCGTCTAGACCCTGACTAGTTTTTCATTGGTTTAGAATACTGGATATATAGCTCTGCTTCAGGAAAAGGAGTTGTAACATTTTGGTGTGCAACTTAACAGGCCCCAAAAGAAACCCCTAGCAACAAATGTTTTGTGTGTGGGAATTTTAGGCTGAAGGCTATCTTTGGGGGGCTTGGCAGTAGGATTTAAGAGGAGCTAAAAAAAGGTAATTTAGCCCCTCCCCCCAAACCTGCTCCAAGACCCATAGTGGAATGAGAGATGTTTAGGTGGTTTGTCAAGGGTTTACTGTAATCCTGAACCTTCAAAACACTGAACATTCTTCAGCCAAAAGGTAAGATCTATAAAAGTAAAAGCAGGGAAGACTCCATTAATTTTCATGCTCACGTACACACTTGGGGTAATACTTTTTCATTTGTAATTTGAATAGATACATAAAAAGCTGCACTTACATTAATGGGGAAAATCAGGGGTTTTGCTTGAAGAAGGGGTCTTTTAACAGGTTAGCCTTGAACTTCTAAACTTCCTATGTTGGAATTACAGGTGTGCAACACCACAGAACGTGGAAATCTAGACATTGGGAGAGACGGGTTAAGATCCTATACTGCACCTGCATAGGACCCAAGTTGGGTTCCCAGCACCTACACAGGGCAGCTCATTAACTCCAGCTCCAGGGGATCCACCATCCTCTACAGCCTCCTGGGGTACCAGCATCTAAACTTTCTTGAAAAATGTGTGCAAGCAGGTGTGTGCTGGGGACTGAAACCAGAGCTTTAAACATACTAATCACATACTACCACTGAGCTGTACCTACTGGGCAGAAACTGCATTAAATTATTTGGTGTAGCTCAGAATGTCCTTGGAAGAACAATCCTGCCTCAACCTCCCTGCTTCTGGGCTCCTAGACCCAAACAAAACAAAGGTGGTAGCTGGAGGGGAGAGGTAGGCAGGGGGAGGAGTGTCCAACCCACTCCATATGGACCCACTTACCAAACCCTCCCCCATTGCCAAAGTGCCCTCCACTTACCAAACCCTTCCCCCATTGCCAAAGTCCAGCTGCAGGCATCTTCCAACCAGCAACTGGCAAGCAAATCCCCAGAGTTTTAGTCTCAGCTTGTCTCCCAGTAAGAGTCCCATAACTTAGCAAAAAAGTACTTTATTCTACGAAAAATTTTTATCACAAAAAAAGCCACACTAGCAACCCCCGGCGTCGCTAGGCCTAAGCTTCCCAGCGCCTCAGTGTCCTATGCATGAGGAAGGTGTCCTCGGACGGGCGGGTCCGCGCTTGCAGCCGCAGGGGGGGCAATCCTTCCACCGTCAGGTGCGGAGCCTCGTAACACAGAGTGTCGGGGTCGCAGAGGATGGTCATGTCTGGCCCCGGCCCGGGTGGCTCCTGCTGGGAGTAGGGGCCCAAGAGGAGGGTTACACGCTGCCAGGACGACGCGGAGGAAGCCCAGCCCAGCAGGGTCCCTCACCTTCGGGGGCGGGGCCCGGGCCTGCGGCGGCGGCAACAATGCCAGCTTCTCCCGAAGCGCCGCCTTCAGAACCTGTTCCTCCGGCACCTGCAGGCTCACCAGGTCCCGGAAGAGCCGCCTGGAGCGCGGCACGTTCAACCCTGGGAGCGCAGGGAGCACGTGGTGAGGGGCGCCCTGCCCGCGACCTCCCGCCCGGCCACCCGCCCCGCCACCTCACCCTCCGCCACGCTCTCCTCCAGGACGCAGCGGGTCTGGAACGACCTGCTTAGCTGCTCCTCCGCGGCCTTCGAGGCATCAAACTGAGCGACGGCGGCGCGCGCGGCCTGCAGTTCCAGGCCCAGAGCCAGGCTGCTCTGCAGGGCCGGGGCCTCCAACGTCTGCGGCCCGCTCGCCGCATCGCCCAACGGCTCGGACCGCTCGGAACGGACCGGGGACAGAGGCGCCAGGCGAAACCGGACCTAGGAACAGAGGGCGGGCTCGTGAGGGGCAGCGCCCAGGGCCACGCGAGTGCGCGGGCTGGGCTGGGCTGCCGCTCACCTGCCGCCCCCTCCGGGCCCCGCCCCACTGCCCCGCCCTCTCTGGACGCCGCCTCGGGCTCTCGGGCAGCGGGCTCGGGCTCGGGCTCGGGCTCAGGCTCAGGTCCAAGCCAGGCTCGGGCACTGGGGCTCGGGGTTCCGGGGCGCGCGGCTCCGGGGCCTGTACGGCCTCTTCGTCTTGCATGGACTCCAGCTCCGAGGCCTCGTAGCCCATCATCTCCCGGCTGCTGCGAGGGTCGAGGGGCGTGGGTGGACCGGTACCGCGGGACAGAGCCGCGTCTCTTCCCCGCCCCTCGGGGCGGCTACTACCGGAAACCGTTAGCCCTTACCCACGCGGGCGCAAACAACAAGCCCGCCGCGCCGTGCAATTGGCGCTCACCGTTGCTCCGCCCCCTTCACTTCCGGGCACGCTTCTGCCCTCACAACTTGACTTGGCCCTTAAGGCGGAGTATTAGCGCAGGGGTCCCCAGAAGTACTACGGATCGCCATCAAGACCAGTTTTCCTGGGGCTGGAGAGCCGTGGTTAATCAGCCCTTGCAAAGGGCCCGGGTTCGGTTCCCCGGACCCACATGGCGGTTACCCACCGTCTGTAACTCCAGTTCCAGGGGATCCGTTGGTCGCGTCTGTCCTTCGTGGGCAGTGCTCGACACGAGTGCACATAACATTCATGCACACAAAATACTCATAAAAAATTTTTTTTCTGGTCTTTTTGAGACAGGGTCTCCCTGTAGCATCAGCTAGCCTGGAACTCACTATATAGACCAGGCTGGCCTCGAACTCAGAGAGATCCACCTGCCTCTGCCTCTTGAGTGCTGGGATTAAAGGTGTGCACCATCACACCAGGCAAGATTTTATTTTTATATTTGTATATGGAAAGGAAAAACAGGAGGAAGCAAGCTGAACCCTAGCATTTATTTCCCTCAGGTTCCTGACTATGAATATCAGTGTGACCAGTTGTGTTTCGTATCATGCCCTCCTCTGAAATGAAATATTCCTCCTAAGGAAACCTTTCTTCAGATTCAACTAGTGAACAAACCATATAAACCTCAGGAAACTCTTAGGAACTGCAAGATTCACAAGGTGGAGCTGGAGAGATGGGCTCAGCGATTACTGTTCTTGCAGAAAACGCAGGTTCGAATCCCAGCACCCACCCACATGGCAGCTAACGACTGTTTGTAACTCTAGTTCCAGGGGACCTGACAGCCTCTTCTGTCCTCTGCGGGCATTGCACATACGGGTGCACTTACATGCATGCAATACACGTGTAAACATAAAAATAATAAATTTTTTTAAAATTCACAAGGTACCTCCAAGTAACCATAGCTACCAAGAGGAGACGTCCCAAGTCATGCAGGAAGCCGCAGAGATCATGCAGCATTCCCCAATCATCACCCATGCTAGGGTGGGCCTCTCAGTGATGCATCTACCCATATTCCTCACCCATCCTCCTATAAGTGACCCCACTAATCTCACTGGTTCACGAAGCTAGACATGGGTGGAATTGTTTTGCTATTCTGTCACTGATGCCCTATCCGGGGTGAACAGACTTTGTTCGCGTTTCCTTGGGAAAACGAACAACAAAAAAGCAAAAGAGAAAACCTATTCCCATTGAAGGACAGGAAAGAAAAGCAGAGGCTCCATCCAGGAACTTGCCCTCAGTGACAAAAGAGAGAAAATCCTTAACAGTAACCTCTGCAAAAGCCACCTGCAAAGAACCCTCATCTGTCTCCTGCTCACAAAGTAAAGCCTGACTGTGGATAGGGACTGGCCCAGAGACACTCCCTCCTTAGTTTAGAATCGATATGGACATGAAGTGCTTCAAGTATATAAACGGAAGACTAGGGCTGGGGAGATGGCTCAGTAGTAAAGTACTTGCTGAACAAGCATTGGCCGAGTTTGGATCCCCAGCATCCATGCAGAAGCCAGTTCAATGTCTGCAACCCATGTTGGAGGGTAGACACATGTAAATCCCAAGGGCACACTGGCCAGCTAACCTAGCCCAAACAGCGAACTCCAGGCTCAGTGAGAGAACCTGTCTCAAAAAATAAGATGGAAGGGCTGGAGAGATGGCTCAGTGGTTAAGAGCACTGGCTGCTCTTGCAGAGGACCTGGGTTCAGTTCTCAGCACCCACATGACAGTTAACCATCTACAACTCCTGTTCCAGGGGATTTGATGCCGTCTTCTGGCCCCCATCAGCATTGCATGCAAGTAGTGCACTTGGGTATATGGGAGCAAAACATTCATACACATAAAAATAAATAAATCGAGAATTTTTTTTAAAAATATTTTACTTATTATTTTTATGTGTATCAGTGTATCGCCTGCATGTATGTGAGTGTACCCGTATCATGCAATGCTGTGGAGAAGAGTGCTTCGGATTCCCCTGGAACTAGTGTTAAGGACAGTTCATAGCTGCCATGTGGGTGCTGGGAATCGAACCTGGGTCCTTTCCAAGAGCAGTCAGTGCTTTTAACTGCTGAGCCATCTCTCCAGCCCCAAATCAAGAATTTTTAAGAGATTAGTTAATGCTAATGATTGTGTCAACAGGCTGATAGGTACAAGAAGTATATGTTTGAATAGTTCTATGACTAAAAGTCTCCCATTGTTAACAAAAAAAAAGAAAATAGCTCTCACTTTAAGAGGATTAAAACACTTTATTCTGAAACTAAGTATGAGTGGCCATGGCCCAGAAACAAATTTGTGTGATGGTTTGAATGAAAATGTCCCCCATAGGCTCCAAGTATTTGGACATTTTGTCCCCAGATGATGGCGCTGTTTTGGGAGGTCTTAGAAGGTGTGGCTCTCCTGGAGGAAGCACATCACTGGGAGTGGGCTTAGAGAATTCTTAAGCCTTGCCAGATCTCCAGTGGCTCTCTTGCTTCCTGTGCCTGCATCATAATGTGAGAGCTTAGCTTCTGCTGTTCCTCCTCCAGCCACCTCCAGCCACCATGCCTCCCTGCCGTGACGGACTGTAATTCCCCTGGAACTGTAAGTTCAAATAAATTCTTCCTTCTAGAAGTTGCTTTGGTCAATGTGAGAATCACAGCAACAGAAAAGTGACTAATACATTTAAGTTACCCCAAATGTTATATTTCAACTTGGTAACGGTTTTACAAAGCTTTTATATGAACAAAGAAGACAAAGTCATAAATCAAGCTATTTTTCAAATACATCAGAACATCAGGTAGGTGAGTTACAACAAATTGGGGAAACCTCTGCTATAGATGTCATTTGCTATCTAATGACATGCTTAGCCTGTGGATTGAAACTAGGGGTCTGTTAGTACATTTCAAAAAGGATTTTACCTGATAGTCTTAAAGTTGTTAAATCAGACACAGAAGTGGGTGATAAATGAATTAAGAAGGCTAAAGATGACCCAAGATAATTTGGCTCCAGGCCTGCAATACTTGAACTCTATACAGTCACAGAAGTTCTAATCAGTCAGTCAGCCTTGTGAAATGTTTAACACAGGTCCAGCTTTTCTATGGGAATTTCAGTTTATACTTTTCATTTAGTAAAAAAAAAAAAAAAAATTAAACTCAGTGAAGGCCAGGCATGGTGGTGTACACCTTTAGTCCCATCACCCAGGAAGCAGAGGCAGGTGGATCTATATGAGTTTGAGGCCAGCCTGATCTACATAGTGAGTTCCAGACCAGACAGGTCTGCACAGTGAAACCCTGTCAAAAAACAAAAAAACTCAATGAGGGCTGGTGAGATGGTTCAGAGGGTAAAAGCACTTGCTACTAAGCATGATGACTTGAGTTCAATCCCTGGGACCCACATGGTGGAAGGAAAGAACTGACTCCCATGAAAGTTGTCCCCTGATCTCCACACTCACACCATGACGTGTGTGCATGTACACACAAAATAATTACAAATATGTAGTATGAGTGTTTTATCTACATGTATGTAAGTGTACCCACAAATGCAGTGCCCTCAGAGGCCAGAAGAGGGTGTTGGATCTCCTAGAGCTGGAGCTACAGACAATTGTTAGCACCATATGAGAGCTGGGAACTGAACCTGGGTCCTTTGGAAAAGCAGCCAGTGCTCTTAACCACTGAGCCATTTCTCCAGTCCCTAAAAAAACTGTTTTTAACTCAATGAAGGGATGATTGGGTAGCTCAGTTAGTAGAGTGCCTGTCTAGTATTCATGAAGCTCTGAATTTGATCCTTATTACTATATAAACCAGGCATGGTGGTGCAAGCCTGTAATCACAGGACTTGAGAGGGGAAGGCAGGAGGATCAGAAGTTCAAGGTCATCTTCAACACAGCAAGTTGGAGTCCAGCTTGGGCTCCATGAAGCCCTGTCTGAAGATCTCATAATAAATAAATAAGTAAATAGTCAAATTGAGCTTGACATGTAATCCTAGCTGCTCCAGGGCTTGAAGCAAGAGGATCACAAGTTCCAGACTGAAGAGATGGCTCAATGGTTAGGAGCACTTACTGTCTGCTCTTCCAGAGGTCCCAGGTTCAGTTCCCAGCACCCATATGGTGGCTCTCAACCATCCTTAACTCCAGTTCCAGGAGATCTTGATGCCCTTTTCTGGTCTCCTTTGGACATTGTACTTGGTACATGCGGGCAAAACACTAATACACACACACACACAAAAATCAGTCAATCGGAGGATCACAAGTTCAAGGCCAGCCTGGAAACCTGAAAACTTGAATTTAATCTCTAAGACTCACACGGTGGAAGGAGAAAACTGACTTATGAAAGTTGTCCTCTGACCCCCACACCCACTTCACAGCATGAGCTAGCTCAAGCCTCACCCACAAACAAAATAAATAAAAACGTAATAAAAAATTTAAAGGGGGTGGTGGTGCTGGGGATGTAGCTCAGTGCAGGACACTTGCTCAACAGGGGAAAAAAGAGACTAGGGATAGGCTTGAGCTGCAGCCTCTTTCTTCTTATCCCCCTGCCCACCCTGGCGCTCAACTCTCTCCTCCCCTGCATGCACTCTGCATTTCCTGTCCAGCTCCCATTTAACTGTTTCTGCAGCAGTTCAACAAGGTGTCAGAGACCCTGGTGGACAAAGGGTTCCCCATGTATGTTGGAGTGTGGTGGAGGTGTGTTTCCATTCCTATCCAGTTTCCAGACCTGCTTACTAATGCTGCACACTTCAGCTCCAGGCCAGGCCCCAGCCTCAGCCTTGCGTAATGGAGATAAGGCAGGAAATAGAATCCCAGTTGTCAACATACTCATAGGCCCACAGGGCCTGGCCCTATTGCTTAACCACATCTGCTAGTTGCTGGAGTCTAGGAATGGGGTGAGAGAGGGGGCCTTTTCTACCCTTCCAGAGTTCAACATGGGCCTGATAGCTAAGCCAAAGAGGGGCCCAGGGAAAAGACAGGATGTGCTGGTCCATGT